CCCCAAAACCCCAAAACCCCAAAACCCCAAAACCCCTGGGTGGTGAGAGAGAATTGAGACTGCTTAAAAACCAGAGATACTCAAGACAAAATCCCAGGTTGATACATTCTACCGATAACCACACTTTTCACTTGGTGATTTCCTTCATAGAGAAATATCTTAAAGCTTCCTTAGAATGATTAATGTTTATTTATGTGTGAAGATATAATAAGCAGGCTATTATTTTTTAATTAAATTCTAAAAACACAGATTATTCTCAAATTCATGCTAAATATTAGCTATTCTTATCCTCTTTAGCGCCAGCAATAGGAGCTACTGCTGGAGATTTAAAAAAAGCTGATGCGACCTTTGGTCCCATCAATGTATTTCTTTTCCTGAAACTTGGAAGCTTTTTGGGTTGTACTAAATCAGGTGATTCATCCACTCATTCTTCAATACTCTGAAGATCCTTTCTAATGAGCATTCTTCCTGCTTGATGTTCTATGAAGGAGTCAAAGCTAGACTAGAGGAGACTTACTGATGAACCCAATAGCTTCCATATCCTTTTTGAATGGATTCGCATGCCTCAAGGCTAGAGAGTTCCTCTTCTTATACATAGTAATCATTTTCGATGATGGATTTGCTATGCTATGACAGTTTTCTTGAGACAAATCCTGTGAATCTATAGTCACCAAACATTTTTCATAGTGGCTGTTATCTGAGTAAATCTCGTTCATATGCTCATTGAAAGTCATTGTCTTTGCAAGAGTAGGCCTAGATGATCATTACTCTTTGAAGAAAAGTAAGTCTTACCTTTTTAAATTCTTCTTAGTATGATTCATCTTTATGTAAACCCTAAATGTTATAAGCCTGGGATACTTTTTGGCAACTGGAAGAGCAGGTGATTTGCAGTATCCACTTGTATTAGAAGTCTTGTCCACCTAAAAATTAGAAGGAGAGAATACGCTCAAGTCCTTATTCTTAACTCAAAATTTTCGATTCCCAAACATTTCATGAGAAGAATCCGTTCCTTCAGACAGTGTAGATGACTTTACTGATGAGAAATCTTCAGAGGAGAAGGATTCTTCACTTTTGTTGCTAAATATTACACTTAAAGCATACAAGGTAAGATTTTCCTTTTCTTTGCAGTTCGGGGTCTGGGCACTCATCAAGGCTATAGGAGAACTATTAAGTCTGGTTCAGTTTTATGCACTAATAACCTACCATCTTGTTCATAATCTTCCTGGATAGGGTCCAGCATTCATTCGAGTTTCTCAAGCTTGTGTGCAATTTTCTGCTGTATGATTGTCTCTACTGGAGTTATTGAAATCCGCTTCATAGGACTCTCGGGTGATCCTAGAGATACAGAATAAAACCCAGTCTTTATGAGCATGACATTGACTCATACCTGATCCATTTTGGGAATGGTGGCGTATTGGTGCCGGTCTTTTCCTATGAACCCTCTTAGCCTCTGCGTTTGTTTTCTAATCTTTAGTTAGTTCTGATTCGACTTTTGATTTGCAGTAGATTCACAATAATTGGTAGGGTTTTAGTACAAAATTTTATTGATGGAAAAGTGAAGAGGACTAGAATATGAGGAATAAGAGAATTTTGAGTTATTCATTTCTAGAAGAAAGAAATAAAACATTGAGAAAAGTAAGGAGTATAGTTTTTTTTACATTTTGGAGAGGATTTAGGATATGAAGGAGGAAGAATATGAGCATAAAATTCTCTGGTAATGCTCCAGGCTTTATGAGAAATCAAAAATATGAAGTTTGAATGATATCTGAGGAAGATGTTATTAAATGCAAAATACCAATAAAATAATTCAGGAATATGGTATTTTAAGAACTTATTCGAGAGGAATATTTATTGATAAAGTACTTAGAATTATAGAACGAAATAGTTCATTCTTTCTCTTCCACACAGAGAATGCAAAAATTTGTTAAAATTAAAAAAAATATTCTATCTTTGAGAGCTTTCGAGTGAATCCATAAAACCTTAAACCAACTTTTAATTTTACTTGATTATTTTGGGATAAATCGTAATTAGACAGATTACTTACCTCTGGTGGTGATCCTATATTTACCGACAATAGTTTTTGGGATGGAGATAGGACTTGCAACTGCAAATTCCGACTGTTATAGTACTTATGTCATAGTTTATCGAGACAAGCAACTTGTCAAAAGAATCGTCATACCCCTTGTCATATCTGGAGGTCTTCAAAGTTGAGGAAGTCGAATACCAAATCTAATACTCCAAGGATTCCGATACTCGGCTCTAACTTGAGTAACTTTAGGTTATTCTCTTCGATTTTATCTCCACAAGCGCTTTCAAAAATCAATCGCCATTGTGTTTCCTCTGATATTTCCGTACAAATTTCCTCTGGTTGACACACAATAGTAGTTTCTTTGATATCTAAAATAAATCCTCACACACATTCCCTAAAACTACCCTCCCTACATCCATCCTCACCACTACCCCAACACCTCTACTCCAGAGGTCCCCTAACCCCCCAAATTCCCCTCCAAACCCCCTCACCTCCCCGGCCAAGCCCCTCTCCTTCCCCTCTCACCCACTGTTCCCACCCAAGGACCTCTTCCTACTACTTACAGATCTTGACTGAGTTCCTTCAGCTGCACCCTCCCATTTCTATAATAAAATTGTTTTCAACATATTGAAAATAATGGGGTTTTGGGGTTTTGGGGTTTTGGGG